TTTTTGCAAAAAATTCTGCAAAAATCTGCATTTTCGCAGGTTTTTGCAGATTTGCACTTATTTAATTCTCCCGATGAGTGCCTTAGAAAACTCTATACTAGCCTTAATTCTAATTCTAATCCTAATTTTTATACTAATTTTAATTTTATTAATTTTAAATCAAAAATTTGTAATATAAAATTGATAAATACAGTAGTTAAAAAATTTATAATTTTAACCACGGGGCAAGTTAGTTAAAATATTTTATTAATAATATTTTTAAGAATATTAATTTTATTTATTTATTTATTTTTTTTTTAATGCAAATTTTAATTATAATATTTTTTTATAAAATAACAAAAAACTAATATGTAATATGTCAAATGTCTTTTTATCGTTAATTACACGTAAAATGTTTTTATTCGTTAATTATACAGTAACGCCCAACAAAAAAGAATTACTAATATAATGTCAAATTTTTCGGCAATACTTGATTAAATATATCATCTTGAGATATACATTTATTCATCCAAAATACCTTCTTTTGCTGCTCGCCAAGCCTCAGCTGAAATTTGATACAGCTCTTCTTCAAGAGCATTAAACCGCTCAACTAAATTGAAAACTTCACTCCCATTCCCGAACGTTTCCATAATCCTATTTATAATAGGTTTTTCACGGGATTGTCTGGCACTGCGGAGACTGGGATACAACTCTTCATACAATGGGATCCAGTTTGTTAACTTCAAGTCTATCTCATTATATTCATCTTGCTTAGCATTAAACTCATCAATGAGATCTCGAAATTCAGTTAAAGTATTGACTCGGTATTTACTTTGTTTGGCTTCGTTATTAATTCCATTTACTAACGTATGGCCATTGACCTCAGTAGTTTCTTGCTTTTCTTGCTTAGATGGTTCAATATTTGATAATGCTATTGTGCCTTTTAAAGTTGAAGTCTTATTAGCACGAGAAGTTTTCGAGCCAAGTGGCCTTCCTCTTTTGGCTCGAGTAGTCGTTTGAATTGAATGACTTGTAGTTGGTTCAGCTGTTAAGGAAGCGATTGTAGTTGCTGTTGTCTTGTTACCACGACCTCGAATAGATTTGGCACCTCGAGTTGAAAGAACACTTTTAGCATCATAATCTATATCATCATCATGTTTTTGTAAACTAGTAAGAGTTTTAGCGCCCCGTCCCTTTGTACTTTTCCCACCTCGAATAGTTTTGGCACCCCTAATAGTTCCAGGAAGCAAAACATCGTTGCTTTGCTGAATTTCTGAATATGCTCCTGAACTAATCTTGTGACGTTTTCTAGATGAAGACTCTCCAACATCAATATTCGTAGAATGATTGGGGGGGAGAGTATGCTTGGGTGGACGAGGTCGTTGAGGCGCATCTGGAGGTAAGCCCATTTCGTCTGCGACTTCGTTCATTTTTTGAACAACACCACTAACCACTTTTTGCCCATAACTAAACCAAGTGTATGGTTCAAGCGTCAACCAGGCGTTATTCGTAAGCTTCCAACCCTTTTTTGTATGTTCCGCAACCTACAATAACGATCCAATAAATAACTCAGTTTGAACTAAAAAACCAATTATAAATGCAATTAAATAAGAATGAAGTAGTTACCTCTTCCAATACTTTTTGCACATTTTCTTTATTATCTTTAACTTTCTTCACAATCTGATCGGTGTTTAATAGATCAGGGGTTAATTCGGTGGACGCAATTAGATGGACAACTCTCTTCCTAAGTGGAACACCTGACGTATCATCGTTTGAAATAAACGATGATGAAGCTGGTACACAATATGACATGCCCGGCTCTTTTCGTTTGGGACGATTGGTTTTTGTGCTTTTCGATTTCACCACATCAGGATCTGGTAGCGGATCTATCACTTGGATTCTGGAAAGTTAACCCGATAAATTTTTTAAATAAAATATTATTATTCATATAATCAAACATATGTATTATGTAATAACAATCACCTTCTTTTTTCCTTTTTTATCTTTTCCTCTTTATAAGCAGTATTCAGCCTTTTAGTCGCTAGATCCATTTTTGCTTTGCGATTCGAATCTTTTGTACTTGTAACTTGGTATTTGATATCCCCGACTACCTCCATCTTATTTCTGCTCAACAAAAGAATTTTTGATAATTTTTCCACGGGTGTTTTTGTAAATTGAAACTTATCTTTTCCATTAAGTGTAATTTCCTATTTTAAATAAGCATTAAATTTAATACATTATACAGGTACAAAATAAAATTTGGTGTAGGCAAAAACCTACAACTCTTCAGAAGATTGAATTATTTTCGATAGGTTTCTTACTCAAAAATCAATATAACAACGATGGGAGAAACGTACAATATCTTTAATATCCTTTGCAACTTTAATTTTCATACTTGATCCATCACACTGAGCTGCAATCAACCTTTTTAAGACATAATGTGACATGTTCACCGCTATACAACGTTTGCTTGCTGAAGCAGCGGCCAATGGAATTTTATTCTTCTCTTTACATCCCCATGATAATTTGGTAGTATCCTCCTCTCTTTTGGGTGAAATAGATCCTGATTCGGCAGCATCCATCATATCGATGGCTTGTGGATCTTGGGTGACAAAATCATCCCTTCCTTCTTTAGATAATTTTGTTCCCCCTTTCTCTTTCGTTACTTTTGTTGACTTTGCCACGCTAGTATTAGTGTTATCCTTGTTTATAACACCTCTCACGGTTTTAGTTTTCGAAGTGTTAGTAGCCATGCTCTTATTACCACGGGCTAAAGTTTCGTTCTTCGTTGATTTACCTCCATGAGAAGTTGCGTTTTTTCTCATTTGTAGATCAGTAAACGAAATCGGTATCAAATAATATGCTAAACATAATAATATCTCAATTAAAATATCTTGACTATATACAAAAATAATAATAGTTACAGAAAATTACTCACATTAGTTGCTATGTCTTATGAACAATGAAAGAATTTGAGGTTCAAAAATGTGAATTAAACCATAAAAATTGAGTTTTTCATCAACGTAAAGGTTATAAATTAAATAGATGGTAGCACATGTGCCTAAATTGTAAAAGCTCATTCTTGATTTTCCATACATTATTACCGTACATACGTATGTACGCCACCGACCACTATTGTTCCGCTCATACGTAACTTATATATTTATAGCACGTGAATTCGCACCTTACGTAAGTACGTACGTACAGTACGTACTAATTTTTTTCGTGTCATGATTTGCCGACAAGTGTATCTGTAAAAAACTAAAATTCCAAGAATTGCAAAGTTCTTCGGAAATTGTGCCATTATCATTGTCAGAACCTTCAGTGCTATAATTTCCGAAAAGTTAGGTGAATAAAACGAGCAAGCTTTAGTTTGTCCAGAGTTTAGAACAGTTGTAAAACATAACATAATGCATGTCGTCACGTTTTCCTACATGCTATATTAATTCAACAAACGGATACAAATTGCCGGATTGTGAAAAATACTCGGGAATTATCTGCAAGTCGCCGGGACCGGCATTTAGGGAAAACAGTAATTTAAGGAATAGCCAATAAGATACTTATTAGTTAATGATCATTACGTATATCTTTATCATCGTTAATAACTCCATTGTTTCAAAAAACGTATCACGTATGTACGTACGTACGTACAGTAGACACCAAAAATAAAATGAAAATTTAAATACAAGTCACTGCTACCTAAAGCCAATATATTTTATATATAGGCGCCAATTTTTTAGCTGCAGTGTAACCTAATTATCCAATAAAAATGCAGAAAAACTTAATGCAATTTTAATTTTTATTAATAAAATTTTTAATAAATTCAAATTTTGTTATGTTTTTATATATACAGCAAGAGACATCCAATCTATATATAGGCGCCAATTTTTGGTGCTTATATAATCAATTCTGATTGGCTAATTTTTGAGCAATTGATTTTGATTGGTTA